AGGGTGGCCCTGCCTTTGCTCCTGGGGTGCAGGAGGGTGCGGAGGGATGCAGGGGGGAGCAGAGGGCACCAGAGCTCCCAGCCCGGAGCAGAGCCGGGTCCCTTTAGCTCGCCTGGCGTGACAGAGGGGACCTCTCTCCCCAGGGTTAGCATGACCGAGGTGGAACCCGTGCTGGATTTCGCATCCTCCGGCAGGACGGGCCGGCGCAATGCCCTGCCCGACATCCTGGGCTCGCCCGCCGGCGTCAGCCCCGCCGACCTGCCCCTCAAACTGGCCGAGATGTCCCTGAGCGCAGGTGGGTGAGCGGGCAGGGGCGTCCCATTGCATCCCGGAGGGGCTGCAGCGAGCCCAGGGCAGGGAACGGAGCTGGGAGGGGCTGGAGAATTCCTGAGGGAGCTGGGAAGGGGCTGGAGAATTCCTGAGGGAGCTGGGAAGGGGCTCAGGCTGGAGCAAAGGAGGCTCAGGGGGAATTTCTGGCTCTGCACAAGTCCCTGGCAGGAGGGGACAGCCGGGGGGGATTTGGGATCTGCTCCCAGGGAACGGGGACAGGAGGAGAGGGAACGACCATGGGAGGTCCAGGTTGGATGTTGGGGAAAATTTCTCCATGGAAAGGGTATCCAGGCCTTGGAAGTGCCCAGGGAGGGTTGGAGTGCCCATCCCTGGAGGTGTCCAGGGAACGCCTGGTCACTGGGCTGGGGACAAGGTGGGCATCGGGCACGGGTTGGACTCGATGCTCTTGGAGCTCTTTTCCAGCCTCAGTGGTTCCGTGATGCCACGCTCTGATCCCATTCCATGTCCCTGTCCCCTGCTCTCTCCTGGCAGGCAGCGCCCAGGACATGCAGTCACCCTCGGCGGAGGCGCCCCCTCCGCAGCCCCCCAGCCCCGAGCTGAAGGACACGTCCTAACCCGCCCGGGAGGGACATTTGTGAGCGGCGGAGGAAGGAGGAGGCTGCGGAGCAGCAGCCCGGCTTTCCCGGCACGGCCGGGATTCCCTCGGTGCTGCCGCAGCGAGACCCTGGAGCGTCCCCCGGCCGCGGGGGAGCCGCGCGTGGCGGGGACGTGCGGGGACACGGAGGGGACCTGCCGTGAGCAAGGGCCGGTCCCCAGCCGCGCCCTGCGCCAGGACTCGGGGGGGCGGGAATGCTTTTGCCTCCCCGGGGGGAGGAATCTTTTTCTTCT